GCTTTGATTTGACGGAGTTTTCATTTGACCTTAGCATGCTTTGGACTGGATCCTAAAGGTCTTTCAAAAGGGTTGGCCTTCTTTGTGTCAGAAGGACAGACTCAACTCTGTTTAAGTGGCATTTGTGTATTTGCCTTTTGAAACACTCTGGTTTAAAAAGAAGGGGCACTTATGCCCTTAAAGGGTCTGTGAACAGCAGCATGAGGAATGCAGCAAGCGACCACTGTGAAATGCCAGGGAGCTGCAGCTGGATGGACAGTCTGGTGTGTAGTTGTGTGCTGGTTCTGCACCTGACCCTTGCCACTCAATGAGCTCTTCCTTTGAAAAGAAATAACAATAGGTAGTGTGTTTGCAGAGAGGAAAATCCTTTCTTTTTTAACCCATTCTGACCAAACAGACTGACTCCTTCTTCTAGATGTGGTTTAGACTGCATGTTGATAAAAGCAATAATGGAAAAAGAGGGAAAGAAGAGAAGATAGCTGGACAAGTGTCCTGCAAATATATATATATATATATATTTTTCTCTTTAAACAATATCTCCATAGCAGTTTGCTAATTCGGCATACAATTTGAGCTCACTGAAGCAGGCTTAACACAATCAACCTTCATTCGGTTACCACTGATTTACTGTGCCAGTGTATTTCGGAGTAGTGTCAGGCTTTTGGAAGGAATATAATGCTACAATTACAATGTCAACCTGAGTAAGTTAAGTACTGAGCCATGAGCTAATGATTTGCTTCAGGGCAGGAAGACTCCTGTGGGACCATGGGAACAGCGCTGGTGATGTTTTCATCCTTCAGATGCATGGAGCTAATGACTACCAGCAGGTGCGAATGTGTACAACACTGAGATTACAGGCTTTCTGTTTTCATAAGAACAGAGTTCAGTGCAGGACTTTGGCCTTAATACGGACCTGAGTAAAGAGACAGCTAATAAAAGATGTGGGCTTTCACTTCAGCTGATCTTATGCCTGGCTGTTTATTCAGTGTTATAGACAATACCAGCAGGTGAACTGCATCCTCTTGCAGTTTTTCATAGGGCTAAATGGTTTCCATATTAGAAAATTCTATCGTTGTTAGTGGTGAGCATATGTAATGCATTCCTGGCTCTGTAAAGCATACTGAATAGTTAACCTCTTATCTTGATAAGTCCCAGTTAACACATATTTCGTATCCTAATGTGCTAGACTTAGTCTTTTGCTCTACAGACCCAGACTGCTCAGTTTAGGATCTCAGTTATGTGTAACAAATTCTGTATCTCCCTTAAACAGGTGTATATTGAAACTGTTCACATAAACCGTGGCCAACTTTGTATTTTTTGCCTGTGAATAACAATATTCAAGACTGATGTATTTCACCAGGTTTCAGATTTTGTGAAAAAACTTTTACACAGCTTCACTGAATATAAAATTATTTCGGTGTTGAGCTGTCTCTGTGTCTCCAGTAATCCCTCAGTGTTGACAGCTAAAGCTGATTCCTCTAACATGGGCTAGCAATGTTTGCAGATATTTCTCTGTTGAATGTGCACCATCAAAGTCTCCTTTTTATATTTGTCCTGCCTTCTCATTTATTCCAAATACAGTTAGAAATGCTATTCATCAGGTGTTGGCCCACAGCACAAGCCAAGCTTTGAAGGAGAACACTGCCTGATCTCCCTCAGACACAAGCATTTTCCATGCACCTTCAGATGCTTCTGTAGGTTATTCTTCTAGCAAAACCGCATCATCCATGAGGGACACGTCTAAACGGTTAACTTATTTGTGTCCCTGCAGATCTGTGCTGCTGAGGTATATTTGCATGAATGAAAATGAAATGCTGCGTGTGTGCATGACCGCATTATCTTAGGCAGGTACAGCTGTACGTTTATCCTAGAAAAACTGATCATTTCTGAGTCCATTACTGCTGCTTCTCCATAAAGTTGTTTGCACCCAGTCACTGGCATTAACTAACATAACCCACTGCCTGGGTCTGTGCCTGACACTGGAGAACTCCAGCTCTTCAAGTACTGTGCACTTTCTTTTTTAAGTTAGCAAATAATAGGGATAAAACAGTTAGGGAATCTTTGTCCAGAAAGTTTTGTAGGAGATCTTTGGACAGAGAAGAAGTAACAGTAGTTCCAGTTCCTTATGGTGAGTCCGTGGAAGTTGTTACGTTGAATGTCTTTGATTCACATTGATTCACTATGTTGTGACTCTTTTTCTCCTCAAGAACATCTTAGAAGGTACTTTTAATATGCCTTTTCATACTTTCTAACACAGCAACAAAACCTCAAAGCACAATTCTGATGTCTGCAATACTCCACCTCTTCCTTTTAATCAGGAAAAATCCCTTGCCTCAGTGTTGTCCAGAGTGCTCTTTTATAATAGTCATCACCAGTCTCAAACTGGGAGAGTATGATACTCAAAGGATGAACGAAAATTCATACAGCAACCCGCACTACAAGAACTGGCTGCCAATCAGTAGGAATCTCAGAGAATAACAGATTTATTCAGTGCTTTCAATGACAAGATGGTATTCAGCAAAAAGAATGGTTAAACTAAAACCAGTATTTTTTGGCCTTTAAATGATTTTTTTTGGGATTTTTTTTTCCTTCTCCCTCTCCTCAGAGCTCCAGAACAGCTCGCTCGGAGGAAGACCGAGACTCACTGTGGGATGCCTGGGGCTCATGGAGCGAATGTTCACGCACTTGTGGAGGAGGGGCTTCGTATTCACTGAGACGCTGCCTGAGCAGCAAGTAAGTGGGTGAATGCTTTTTACTTTACTGATGGGAGAATTCAACCTACTTGTATGTTTCAAACCATAAGAAGTAATTAGCAGAGGTCTTGAACTACTCTGAAATTTCCAACTCAGTGTCACACTGAGTGTAGTGTTTTATATTAATATCACCGTGAAAGGGACTTAATCTTTGAGAAACACTATTTACTTGTCATTTAAATTCCTAAACAGTCAGTCAGGTTTTGTTTCAGGCCAAGGATTAAATAAATGCATTTTTTCCTTTCTTCTTTTTTTCTAACACCATGTCTTTGATATAATGTATAGTCATATTCCATATGTGTATAGCCACATTCAATTTTTTTGATTCCAGTGAACATACTCTAGATATACAGCAGAGTTTCACAGAGTAAAGCCCAGTATGATGATGTTTTTATTGGTTCCGTACTCATCCCCTTCACATACATGAGGGTCAATGTTTATTTAATCATATAATCATAGAATGGTTAGGGCTGGAAAGGACCTTAGAGATCATCTAGTTCCAACCCCCCTGCCATGGGCAGGGACGTCTTTCACTAGATCAGGTTGCTTAAAGCCCCATCCAACCCCACCTTGAACACTTCCAATGATGGGGAATCCACAGCTTCTGTGGGCAACCTGTGTGCAATCACGGCACACAAGGCCAACCGGATCCTGGGCTGCATCAAGAGGAGCATGGCCAACAGGTTGAGGGAGGTGATTCTGCCCCTCTACTCTGTTTTTATTAGGCCCCACCTGGAGTACTGCGTACAGGTCTGGCCCACCCAAGGCAAGAAGGATCGGAGTGGGTCCAGAGGAGGGACATGAAGATGATCAGAGGGCTGGAACACCTGCCCTTTGAGGACAGGCTGAGAGAGTTGGGGTTGCTCAGTCTGGAGAAGAAGAGGCTCCAGGGTCACCTTATAGCGGCCTTCCAGTACCTGAGGGGGCCTACAGGAGAGGTGGGGAGGGACTTTTTACAAGGGCATGTAGTGACAGGACGAGGGGTAATGGATTTAAATTGGAAGAAGGCAGATTTAGACTAGATATTAGGAAGAAATTCTTTACTGTGAGGGTGGTGAGGCACT